CGGGGGTGAAGGGGAGGCAAAAGACAAGAAGATCTCAGGCTGATCTGACTTTCCCCCTTCCCCAAACAAGTGCTCGCCAAACCGCCACCAACTGTCGGGCGCGCCCCACCACCCGCCCCACTGCCACACGTGCAGTACAGCAGTACAGCAATACATCAGTGCCAAAGGCCTCGCATTCAAGTAGCGGTAGCAGTAGCAGCAACTCACCGAGCGCTGCAGGGCCGCAACCGCCTCAATAGCTCCAATCACGCCCAGCGTCCCGTCGTACATCCCTGCGCGGCCGTACGCAGTACAAAACACTCACACCGACACGTCTTTGATCGGCTTCATCGGGAGAATATTTCTACAGAAGGTTCTAGAACCTCCACGTCCCCATAAGAGCGCCGGAGATCTAGGTGACCCAGTTCTCCCGTCCAGAGACCAAGTCTTTGATCAGAACACTCCCCAGCAGCAGCAGCAGCAGCAGCAGCTACAGGGCTAAAACCACCCCCCTACGTTTAATCCGCGAGCGCTCAGGCGCAGGCTTTGCACTTCACACCATCCCCACCGACGCATACACACACACCGCCCTAGACATCAACAACTGAATGCGATCACACACATACATACATACACACGCATGCGTAATATCGCGCGCGCTTGGGAAACATGTAAATGGAGGCCCATCCAAACTTCGTACGGTAGTACGGTGTACGGCAAGTTTGTTTGTGTGTGTGTGCAGCGGTGGCCCTCACCAGCCAGAGGAATGGCATCGCAGTGGGAGCCCGTCAGTACGACACCGCCGGCTTGGTTGCTGCCCTCCCAGCGCCCGAAAATATTGCCCATGGCGTCCTCCCTGGACCAGACATGATGCGGGCATGTGGGGTGGGGGGGAGGAAAAGATGTTTGAATACCGCATGGAGTGTTTAGGAGCTATGGGATACTAATGACGATAATTTTTAACTTCCTATGGACTTGCGAAACCAAAGAAGACCGGATTCGGATTCGAACCAGTAACCTAACAGTGGACAGCTTCTGTTCCCCTCGTAATTTTGCCTCCTTACAATGGATAGAGCCCGGGCATGCAAAGCACAAACAAAGGACAAAGCACAAACAGCGGATAACGGCATTGCACCGATATCAGAGAGGGCATAAGGAGTGAGCTGAAGGTATTAAGATGTCAAAGAACAGATTGCAGGGATGGGATCAGAGCCGAGCAGTAGGTTGACGGTAGGTTTTGGCGGAGCGACGACGGGGGTTTTCGGACAGGACCCACCTCACAATCAGGTTGTTCTCGCGCATCAGATCTTTGACAAATCTGGAACATCAATCAAAGGATAAGTTTTGTAGCTCGGAGCGGATTAGTGTATGGTGCCGTCGGCAGAGGCTGCCGGGAATGTTTGCTTACCCCCGTGCCAGCATGTCGTTCGGCGAAAACAGGATACGGGTGACCGCTGGGTTTTCGTGATCAGAAAAATTGGCGAGCACTGTGAGCTGCAGCCGCAGTAGGATTGCGGGCAAGGGTTTCACCGCACGTTCCCCGAAGCATGGTATGCTGTGTTCATAAAGCGCAGACAGCCGCCAGGCTTATCGGCTCACCACTTCGACCACTTTATTACCATCAACGTGGACAGATTGCGCCAAGCATTGACTGAGACCCACGAATGCGAGGATGACAGCCCACGACAGCATGGCCTCTGCGGATGCGGACGCACGGGCGACCCGCATGTTTGAAAGCGTAAAATCACAAGTGTGATAGTAGTACAGAGTGAATTTCTACCCCGTTATTTCGTCGTTATGCGATCAAGAGTGTCAGTCGAGACGCCACATGGGCTCAGATGGTCGGTTCAAACTTGTACGGCAAGCGAAAAACGTGCAAAACATGACAGAAGCTGCAGGATTTGATAATTGCCATGGCTGATAGTTGCCATGGCTGATTCGGCGGGCAGCATTGCCCTGTCAATTGATGAGTCGTCCCTCGAGAGCACATTGCAAGCAATTCAGGATGAGCAAGTACTAGCGTAAGAGGATTTACGATTTCCACAAACTCAACAGCTCCTGATATCACTAAAAGCCCACTTCTATTGACGTACCGGTCCCAAACTGCCCTAACTTGCTAAATTATAGGCTGTCAAGACTCCGCGCAGTCCGCTTCAGGCTCCAGGACTGCAACTCCAATCTTGCAAAAGCATTATTGTCATTGAGAGCTGCAGGAAGAGAGGTCGCCAGGGACATGCGGGGCATGCGGGACGACCTGGATGCTGCCTACAAGGCACTCGGGTGCGCATTGATTTTTTTCCAGCATATGTTCCATGGGTTTGAAGTACGTTCTCAATTAGGCTCCATATCGGGCATCGGACGACTGGGCATCGAACAAATCGCCTAAAAGCCAACGGAAAACGGCCTCGCGGATGACACAGCTGAAACGGTGATACCGCCAGATGGTCTCCACAGCTTTTGCTCCCGAAAATGAACTATAGGCACCTGTACTACACGTGCTCTCCTAAAGCTGAATTGCTGTTTGGCCTGTCGCGTCGTTGTGCCTGCGTACCGTTTGCCATCCAGGCGTTCAGGTACGCGTGGGCTGCCATTCCCACCTACGATACCTCTGCATCACGTTTTTTTACCGATTCCCCCCTCCCAGATCTCTTGATAAGCGACTGGCGCAGTAGCCACATCGGCCGTTGTTGAGAGGCAGCTGGCGCAGTCGACGTTCGGAGCCCCAAACACCTTGCTAACCATCGAGCTCCTTGCGGCCCTGTGCGCCATGCATACCTGAGCCCCGGGGGCATTGCACTGCGGGGTTCGCCAAAGCCATGGGGTGAAGGGTGCCAAATAAGTTGGCATTATCAAACACCTCGGCCGTTTCCATCAGGCAAAGGCATTCATGGTTGACGGCTGGGGGAGACACAGCTTGGGAGTCGCAGCCTCAGGCCTTTTGCCGCCACGGCTCTGCAGACGGCAAGGGCTAACGTCCTCCGCCATTTACGGCTTTGTGATAACAGACTTGAACGGGGTGCCTCCGTTTACGGCTACAGACACTTGCCATGAGGGATTTTGCGACCTAGCCTCCTTCCCAGCAGGGTCCGTGGTCTCATTTTTTCCATTTCCAGCCAGACCCGGCGGCCCAAAAAGCAAGTAGTTAGCAACTTGGGAACCGGATTGCTCTGATCGCAACCGTTGCGCTGGTGGGGCGCAGGGTTTATGGTGAGAGGTTCTAGACCACCTGTAACTTCACCTTTCGGTATTGCGTCCCAGCATCGTGTCTCAACGTGAAGCCGTGATAGTTTACGCGGGAGCCCCCTACAAAGATTTTTGTGTATGTGCGTGTTCTTAAAGCTTGGGGAGGCAGGCATGCACGATGCATGTACGGCGTCCTACTGTGTGCAAAACTGATGTGTGGCCCTTGATGGATAAGATAATACAGAGAACATCGATTTGAAGGCCGTGTAGCAAGCATCTATGATTGCTGCCAAGTACCCCCGTGAACAGCCCTTTGCCAAGGAGTGGATCGTACATGGTTCCTGGCCACCTTATCTCCTGCAACCCGTTACCGTTTCCTTTGATCGTCTCCTGCGTCGTGCCTAATATTCATAGTTGCGTGGGAAAAACCGCGATGGTGGGAAAACCGTGATGGACCGTGGTGTGCACGCCTGATCACATGCAACTGCTGATCGGTAACCTTGGCTGCAGCAACGACAAGGAAACGAACTCGGGATGATGGCCTACGGATAGTAAAGCTGCGATTCAAACATGGACAGAAGATACTCCCTTGGACAGTGACTCTGCAGTTATGTACACGCTTCGGTTCAGTACCTAATTATCACAATTGGAATAAATGGTGGTGTTGAAAAACACCGGGTATTTGGGAGCAGCAAGGAAGCTGCAAGAAAGAAACCACAAGCTTAACCACCGAAGCCGTAGAGGGTGCGGCCCTGGCGCTTCAGGGCGTAGACGACGTCCATAGCTGTCACAGTCTTGCGGCGAGCATGTTCGGTGTACGTGACCGAATCCCGAATGACATTCTCCAGGAAGTTCTTCAGCACCGTGCGAGTCTCCTCGTAGATAAGGCCGCTAATGCGCTTCACACCGCCACGACGTGCCAAACGACGAATGGCCGGCTTCGTGATGCCCTGAATGTTGTCGCGCAGCACCTTACGATGGCGCTTGGCTCCACCCTTGCCCAACCCCTTGCCGCCCTTGCCACGTCCAGACATGATTCTTTTACTTATAAGAAAGTCGAACAGGGATTGGGATAAACCGAGAAGTATAATGTTCTGCGCTTGTAGGGAATTTATGAGAACCAAGGTGGACGAGCGTACGGGACCTTGGCCCGGTGAGCCGAGCCGATCAGCTGAAGTACCCTAACAAGTAATTTTGCAAGGTAGGGGTTGACGCTGGCGATTACTGCTCTTATCATATTAAGGCTGCCCACAAGTCCACTAGTTGTAACGCACCGCACGCAACTACTATGGAATGTTCACAGCAACGTTTTCCTTGGGGAGCCGCAGAACTTATGCCCAAGCATCGCAAGCATTACAAATACAACCAAGATGCATTATGCTAATGCTAGCTCACATGCCTCTTAGTACACATGCCTTTCTTGGGGTGTTCACCTGCCCACCACTTGTACACAGGTACTTAACGCCAGCGCCCCGAAGATTTCACTACGGAGCACAGTCCATACTTGTTGGCGTCCGTGGCTTGGAAAGGAGAGAAATCGTGCTCTGAGTGGCCCCGACACCTTACATGGCGTAATAGCGTCATAGGCAGCGAAACCTTTCCAGCCCTGACGCATCCTTGCTCGCTTCATCCGCTGCGGCCAACCGCCCCGCCTTACGTTCAGAACGTCCCATAGTGCCCCAGCTCCTTCGCTGGGCACGCAGCTTATCTATCCGGCCACTTCTCTGTCCCTACAACTAGCACCCTCCCAACCGCACCTCCCCGGGTGGGTCCTCCATCTCCCTTACAGGTGTCCCTATCAGAACAGTCATCCCCCTCCCTATGACCGCATACGTTTCCTAGGTGCACGTTTTTGCACCAAGCTCCATGGTCCTGGCATTCCTACCCGTTTGTACAACTTTTCCTTGCTTCCTGTTGACACACACACCGGTCCCACTATGTAGAGCTCCCACTATGTAACACACATACATATACACCGTCACGCGCTATGGACCTTGGCAAGAGCTTGTCCAAAGAAGACGCGCGCAGCTATTATAGGGTCAGGAGAGTCATGCACACAAAAACACTGAGCCATTCCTTTTGAGGCGTAATTAAGAAATACTTAAGCTCACGGACCTCTGCCCGTTTACAAGCAGCAGGATGAGTGCAGCACAGCCACCGTGTCGTCCCAGGCGCTCAGTCAGGTCAGCCAGGCAAGACGGAAAAACGTGTCACCGCTCAGGCGGGTCTGGGTTTCAGTGCGGTTGTGCCGGGGCTAGCGGCCCCCTTAAGGATGGTGGTGGTCGGCGCCGTCGCGCTAAAGCCCCGCGCCTCCTCCAGTCTCTGTGTCGCGGTATTGCGCTGCAAGAAGGGGATCATAGCGTCGGGGGACGGGCAAGTGAAAGCAGCACGGAGGAAATGGGGACGGACGGTACGGGATGGGTAAAGTGACGGGGGTTGCGTGCATTACGACATGTAGCGACAGTCTGTTGGCTGCGTACATTGGCAATGAACAATTGCTCTCCCACTGGTCCCCCGTCTCGATTCAATCGAGCTCCCATTCAACAGAATTTGCCACAACAAGGCAAACGGCCTTGCCGGACACGTGACTTTATCTTAGGTGGTTTGGTGACTGTTTGCTGGAAGTTATCCCCACCGGCTGCACCCATGGAGCCAACCACTCCTCGCCAACACTAAGGTACCTTGCACCTAAAGCCCTCACCCTACGGCTCTATCCAGCATCGCCTCTGAATTACTCCCGATACGATGAATTCCGTTCAAGCCAGGGCCCTTATCCCTTACCATCCCCAACCAAAGTCCCTTCACACCCCTCCTTCCCCCCCTACCATGAGCTTCCCGGCTGTGTGCCGCGTCTTCTGGATGAGCGCCCGAGCCTCCTGCTCCAGATTGCGTACCTAACCACCGCACGCACCACCACACACATACATACACACCGATACGGATCAGATATTCAAGAACTTACACACAGCGGGAAGTCTAGGCAGTTACTCGCTTTGCGCTTTGACGTAGCTGAAAATAAGCGACATTTGTTTCAATTGAAGCTAGAGCTGCCGCATAGCTGATTTTGCGTTCTTGGCTTTGTTACCGATATCCTTTTTATTTGTATGAAAAAGCTTAAACAATTATAAACTCTCCCGAGGAGGACATAGCCGGCAGGCATTGCTCTTGTGCTCGTGTGCGGCGGGTTTCGTCGCCTGGAGCCCCGTTATCCGTTAACCATCACTGCCACCTCAAGGCGTGCGTATTACGGTGGTTACTATGGTGCGGGTGCCCGGGCCTTCAATGCGTGACTCTGTCCTTAGGTGTCCTTCCTAGGGATGTTGGCTGCTGTCGCCAGGGGCCCCCACTGCCTTACGTTGCCCATGGACGCGTCAATCTGCTTTGCGAGGTTCTCTCTAAGTTCCGTCTTCGCGTGGATGGATTTGTTTAACCGCTCCTGGGGGGGAAAACGAGAGGAGGGTCAGGAAGGGCCTTTGAGACGAAGGCAAAAAGGAGCGCGATGTAGGACCCTGGACAAGGAGGACCCGGCCGGGACGAATGAATGGATGGACGCGTGGATGCGCCATTATTATGAGTCGCGCATTTAAAAATCCGGACGTCGTGGAATTGGTACAGCAGTGGTACGGATGACACGACACGTGTGCGGCGTATCCTCTTCGTGAACGTGTCACAAGGCTGGACGTGAATAAGGGCTCACGTCTAAGGGATGTGAGTCGGAATTATCACCCCACAACATGCCATTACGTTCAGGCACCCACCATGTTGGGCGTGATGTGTGTCCGTATCGTCTCGTTGATCTGGTTTATCTCTTTCTGCAAGATAGCGAAGGCAGAAGGCAGCTCAGGTGTGTATCGGTGCTCAGCTAAAGGTATGGAGCTCAGGCACTAGGGGACGTGCTCTGTAAGAGAGATGGTGCGCTTTAGGCTTGGTTGGCTATGTCTTTGCCCTCGGCTTTTGCTCTCCCGACCAAATACCCCCGACGTGCCTGCGTGAGACTCCAAACCCTACCTCAGCAGCAGCGACTTCTTCTTGTCGTCGCATTTTTTCAAGAATCAACGCGTGCATACTCTTGTCAAGTTGCTGCGCATGTGCCCAAAGCCAATACCAGTGTGAACACGATGGCAAAAGCAAAACCCGGCCTCCGCAGCTCGTACCGATATGAGACGGGTGATGAATTTAGGATCGCGCTTCATGAGAATCTTAATCTTTTCCGGATCTTTATTTAGCTGCGCGACATCGATATCCTGCCCCGATGTGCTCGCTGTTTTGCTCGCATCTGAAAGGATACAAGAATATAGATAACTGGTTATAAGAGCTTAGATGAACTATTTATGGCACAAAACGAGTTCCTTGCATACCAGCCATCTTGCGAAATTAGGAACCAGTAGACCGGTCGTAAATAAAACAAAAAGCCAGACCTAGCTTTGCTTAGTCAACCAGCATGAAAATTTGGTGATAACGCAAAATGCCAGTGTTCACTATGCACACTCTTCGCTCGAAGGAGTATCCGTACTAACGGCAGCCGTACCATAATTTCGCCTCGCCTGGACGGCGTAAATTACAGCTTCTAGTAGACTTGTACTGTTTGAGATCGTGAGGCGTTGCTTGTAACACCAGGTAGCAGGCCTCAGTAGGTCCTGCAGCCAGAGATCAACGACAACCCACACAGCACAGCAATACCCATATCCGCAAAGGTTGTGTCGCACCTGTCCGCAACAGCTGTCCTTGAAGAGCTTCGAACCATGCATGAGGCCCCCAATCTCGCCCGTGTGAGGCAAAGCGCCTGAGCGCCTTTTGTAGCAACGAATCTGGAACTGCTGATGTTACCACCTCTTAAACCGTGCATCGCAAATAAACGTGCGCCCGTACACAGCCCAACCTATGGCCCGTATACGAGTTTGTGATATGAATCAAACCCCACCCAAGGAGAACTGACGCCACAAAAAGCGCGAAAGGCCTGGGTACGCTGGGCACGCTATAGGGAGCTTTTCCCATACGGTACACCGCCCGGTGCTGTGTTACACATCCCGCGCCTCCACCGCCAAAAAAGGGACGATAACTATCGTTCCATGCGTGAGCTCCTTCATCCTCCCTTCGTCAGGAAAAACAAAACATAACATAGCCCCCAAGCAGCTGATGGCGGCAGCGTGCGCGGGCAAAAAAGCACACGCACGTCCGTCCACAAACGACTCGCATTTAACTTCCTACTCGCCTTGGACCGCCCGCGCATGTTATAAAAGAACAATTCAAACGCCGTCCTGGACGAGATCAAGAGAATCTAGCAACAGGTTATCACGCCGGCCACCTAGCACCAAGACTGCTCCTGTATAGCCCTTGTGCAAAATGTCACGACGTCATCGAGACGTGTGGAGCCCCTCCTGCACCCCTGCGTCGTAAGTTCGCACAATCCTAGAAGATATCGACACAGTCAATGACTGTAATAAGGGATTCCATGCATTCAAAATCGCGGCACAGGCACTTCCCTTCGTTCGCTTTCCCCGTGACTTTCCCCCCCCAAGTTCCCTCCTCCTCCTTACCCCTCCCCCGGCGGGTGGGGTAGGGTGGGATATCGGGGGAATCAGTATGCAGAGGTGTAAGTAAAAAGGTCAGCTGCCTACGGGTCTACGGGAGGTTGTGCGGGTAGCGGAAGGCCCCCATGCCCCTATCCTCCGGTCCCCGGCCGCCACACACCAGGCGGCCTTATCCTGACACCCTGCGCAGGTGCCCTCCCCTAAGGCCAGTATATTCTGCTGCTGGTAGCCCCCTCCCCGAAGACGCTGTCGCCTTCTTTCCTCCCATCCCGGGGGCCTCTTAGGCGGCCCCCTGCGGCCCCCGGCCGCCGCTCGCTGCTGGAAAATCGTGGATGGTTACAAGGAAGAGGAAGGTGCAGCAGAAGGAAGAGGAAAAGGAGTCGAAGCAGGAGGAGGAGGAGGAGGAGGTGAAGAAGGGCAGCAGTAGTGGCGGATGCTGCCTGGGCTACCTGAGCTACCTTTGAGTAACGTTTACCTTGAATCGCCGTCGAACACCCCCTCCCTTTTTGGGGGGGATCCACCATACATATTTCACACTGATTATATATTGGTTTAACCACCATAGAACCGTAATCAATTCGTATGACTATATATGTATAAGACCACATTTTGAACATGTCTTTCACACAAAACACAGAGACACAGGCACTCTCGCCCTCCGTGTTCATCTTGTCTACTCCCCTTTCGCTGTGCTTGCGCACTCCCTCACCCACACCCTCACACGTACCCACGCGGGCCCGCCCCTCTCACACTCACACATACACACCCTTCTCAACTAACTACCTGAACCTAACTACCAGGCCGCAACTGCGCGATACGACGCATGTGCTCCGCCGTCAGGCCCCAGTCGTACAACTGGAGGTTCTGCCGTATCCGCTCCTGATTGGACGAGCGCGGCAGCACCACCAGCCCCTGCTGCAGCGCCCACCGCAACGCCACTTGTGCCGTACTCCTCCCGAGATTCCCTCCTTCCCCCTTTCCTTCGCTCCCATTGCCCTCCCTCGACCCTCCCGCCGCCGCCAAGGCTCCCGCCTCCTGGCCAATGGCCTTCAACACCGGGTTACCCAGTACGGGGTTTCCCCCTCCGTTAAGCCCCCACTGCGTCCCCAGGGTACTGTAGGCGGTCAACGTTAGGCCCTCTCGACGACATAACGCCTGCAGCGCCTCATTGCGGCCCAGCGGATCCACGTGGACTTGCAGTACCGCGGGCCGTACACGCGCTGACGTCAGCAGACGAGTGAGCTGCTCGGGTGAAAAGTTGCTGACGCCTGCAGGCGGGGTGCACAGTGTGTGTGTGTGTGTGTGTGTGTGTGTGTGTGTGTAGAGGGGAAGAGGGCGGGGGATGGGGTTTGGGAGCGGGAGGAGGGTCGGGAAGGGGGAAACTGGTATGCAGGAAACAACAAAAAATCAGCTACAGACGTGCTGTGGTGGTGTTAGTGGCGGTGGTGGTGACGGGGGTGATGGGAGGTAAGTGGAGGTAGTGCTGGCGCTGGCGGTGCCGTGCGCGCAGGACACCGCCACCACCACCACCAGACTGGACTCCCATGGTGGAGTGGCTGACGGTGCCGTACTGTGTGTGTGCATCTGGGTGTGCATCTGTGTGTGCATCTGTGTGTGCATCTGTGTGTGCATCTGTGTGTGTAAGGGACTAAAAATCCCTGGAAAACGGGGAAGACCCCGTGGTGGTGGTGGAGTGGGTGGGTGAGCGGCCTCGACGGCGCCGTTAGTGCCGCTCTACGACGGACGCAACAAGCCGGGAGGGGGTTGGTACGGCAACCTGATGCCGATCACATCGCAGCATGCGTATATGCCTGTCCAGCTGCACACCCAACACCCCCCCTCCTCTCCCCAGCAACCCATTCCTCCGCTCCCACCTATTGCCCGCACCAGCCCCGCCTGGTACACCTCCTCCAGAGCTCGCCAGCTATCCAGGAAGGTGCCCTCGGGCTGCACCCCGCCGCACAGGTCCCCCCAACACTCCGAGTAGTGAAGCAAAAACAGGTCAACGTAGGGGGAGCGCAGGTCTGCGGGGGGGGAGGTGCGGGGTTGGAGGGTTTACACGACAAAACACAGACAGAGCATTGACGAAAAGAAAATACACCGTAGATGGATCCTCCAAGATTAGGGTGGGGAGGGGTGTCGGGGGGTTGGGGGGTTGGGGGGTTGGGGGGGTGTTTAGGGGGGTGGGGGAAAGACGAACCACACGCGATTGAAGGTGCTGCCAGGGCAAGATAGTAGCAAACGTAAAAACTGACCGAAAGGCGTCCGTGGCGACTGTGTCGACTGTAACCTCGGGATGAAGAAGTGACGTAGATGTTGGGACTCCTACCTACCTAAGCCGCCAGAAATAAAAAGCTGAATAGTATAGCCAATCCGTAAAGTAGTAGGTGTAGAAATAGTAGTGAAGGCAGCGAGTAAAATAGTGCTGACGTAAAAGTGGCGTAAAGTTGCTGGCCAGGAGAGAAGGCTGAATTGCTGATACTGAAGGGCTGCCGGTATGCAAGTGCTCCTCCCAACCCCCCAAAAAAACTAGAACGCGCGACTGACCCGACCGACCCAACTAAACTATTCCGGCTAGCCTACCGACGCCAACGCGATAAACCAAAGAAGCTCGAACCACCCTTTGGACTCACCTGGCCAGGCAGCAGGAGCAGCGGGCAAAGGCACATGCAAGGCAGAGAGGTGGGAGAGTTGTGAGCAGCGAAAAAAATGAAAATAAAGATACAAAAACGCATGCAAATGCTGCTGAAAAGGAGTATTAAACTAGCTGACCGGGAAAGCTGGAAACGAGAAAACCTAAAGAACCTATATGAAAACGGATGAAAACGCACGGAACTAAAAATAGCAAAGGCGGCGCAGGACGACACAGAAGGTGTCGGAGGTGGGGGAGGGAAGCAATGGCAGTGCGGGGGACCCGGAGGGGGAGCTTAGCGGGGTCGGTGGACGACGACGAAAAAGGGGCTTAGGTTTGACGACGCGGGAAAACACAGACAGGGGTTCATTCGATAAGGCATAAGGCGTGTTTTGAAGGGTGCCGGGAAAAGCGGGCTGGTACCCCGGGTTGCTGTCGAGTCGCAGAACAGATATCTCCCCAAAAGGCTTCGAAGGAGGTGCGGGGAAGGAGGAGAATCGGACAGGAGGGAGAGGGGCATCGGAGTACGGCATCTCCATAGTCTTCTCCGGCGGTTTTATCAAAGCCTTGTAACTATTTAATAATAAAATGTCGGCATGTCGCGCGAGGTGCTGCTAGTTTCCCTTCAGCAACCACCCGATCCGGGAGCGCCCCCCCGTCACTCCACCTGAGGGCCCTTGGGGCTGTCGACAGCTGACTCCTTGGGGTTTTGAATCCTGTAATCCCCCCTCCCCTCCGCCCCTCCCCCTCCGCCCCTCCCCCTCCGGCCCTCCCCCTCCGGCCCTCCCTGTAGCTACCTTTTAATGTCGCATTGAACTGCCGCAACGTGGTCTGGTAGCCCAGATGGCGTGGGTGTAACTTGGACGTCACCTGAGAGGTGGGGGAGGAGGGGGGAATAGATGGCAAGTCAAGGGGACGGAGAGCACGCAGTCACGAGGAGGGACCCCAACCCATACACACACAGACACAAACACGCACATACATACAAGACCGATTACAGAGGGGCTGGTGATGGCGATAGCCATCAGTGTCGTGCGTCTGCGTTTTTGTCGTGTGTGTTGTATACGTGTGTGCTTGTGTAGATTATAAGAGATCTGTGCCGGCATGTCCTGGCAACAACTAAGGCCCCCTGTTGTCCCCCGCTCTCTGCATCGTACGACAAATGTAAGTTGTGTGGATTGTACGAATGAATCAAAACCCACCCACACCCCGGCGTTTCACCTCATGCCCCCGTCTCAGGCTCCCATGTGCCCTCTCCCATGACAATGATGATGTCGTAAACCCGCCAACCGCCAACCGCCAACACCCTCTCTCCTTCCCTCCCTCCATGCCAACCGCCTCACAAAAATTTCCTCCCGCCGTACAGCTCCTCTCCTTCCCCCTCCGCCTGTGCTGCTACTGCCGTCGCTGCTACTGCCTCCGCTGCTACTGCCTCCGCTGGCCTCCGCTCCTGTCTGTCCGTTGAGGAAGTCGTACAGCGCTTGGCCCACCAGATCCTCCCGGTACCACTCCCGGGCCTGTGCGTATGTATGTATGTATGTATGTATGTATGTATGTATGTATGTATGTATGTATGTATGTATGTATGTATGTATGTATGTATGTATGTATGTATGTATGTATGTATGTATGTATGTATGTATGTATGTATGTATGTATGTATGTATGTATGTATGTATGTATGTATGTATGTATGTATGTATGTATGTACGCATATGTTTTGGGGGGTTAAGACGAACCAGTGGCGAATGAAGCAGATGCCAGAGGTAGACGGATAGTCTAGGTCAAGACATTATGGGGTGGGTTGGGAGGTGTTTGTGGTTGGGCCGTCTGGGGGGTGGTTGGGGGAAAGACGAACCACACATGATTGAAGCTGCTGCCAGGGCAAGAGTGTATCAAACGTAGAACTGACCGAAAGGCGTGGTTGGGGGAACATCAAACGATGCAAAGTGCACTCGGCACCAGCCGGTGCTGCAGCTCCGAAACCCGCCATCTCCCCTCCCCCTCCCCCTCCCCCTCCCCCACCTGGGCGCTATCCAGGTGGCTGTACCCCGCCTCCAGCGCCCACCGCACGGTGCGGCTGGTGAGGTCCCCCAGACCCGCGCACCCGTAGCCCACGGAGGGCTGCAGGACACCGTTGTTCAGACGGATCTGCGGGGGAGGGGGGAAGAAGGGAGGGAAATGACGAACCATGTGAGCGAGTGAAGCTGCTGCCAAGGAGGAAAGACTGAGCTGCGGCTGATGTAAAGAAATCAGATCTGATCAGTCGGCGGTTGTGAAGAAGAAGTCCAGTCGGGATGATGATGTGAGAAGTCATGACGACAGCGGAAAACTACCTACCTAGCCGCCAAGACTAAATTACGCGCAGAAAGAGAGCAGGAGAACTAAGCCGTAATATGGTAAAGGTAGGTGTAAAGGCGGCGAAAGAGTAAAGAAGCAATGACGTCAGCTGGAATAGACTTGCTCGCCGGCCTGGCGGCGGAATTGAAGAGGCTGGTCAAAAAAATGGCTGATGATAAGCTGCTGGTAATAAGCTGCTGGTGACATGCAAGTGCTCCTCCCAAACTCCCAACACGCGCCCGACCCGCTCGGCCCGACTATCCTAGTCCGGCAAAAGGGGGAAAAGGAGGAAGAAGGGCGAGGCGCGGGAGGCGAATCACTATCGGCACCTGCAAGGAAAACATGCCACGTGCTGCTGACGTGTTTCCCCCCCAACTCCCATTCCTCTGCCCCCGCGACGGAATGCCCTCGGGGAGAGAGAGGCGCGGGCACAGGACCGATGGGGCGCGTATCGTAACCCCCTTGCCTACGCTCCAGGGGGGTCATGGGGCTTGGGAGTTTGCACACCATTACTGGCAGCGTTTGCGGTGTCCAACATCAAAGACCCCCCTCCCAACCCCCACCCCACCTTGGCCAGGGGTTGCGGCAGGTTCACCAGCACCGGGCAGGCGTTACAGGACCTGGGGCAGGCCCCCTCCATGAAGCCCGGGTTGCGTCGGCACTCACCCGCGGAGGCCCAACTACCGCATTGATCCTGCAGAGCCGGAGCCGGAGCCGGAGGCGGAGGCGGAGGTGGAGGGGGAGCCGGAGCCGGAGGCGGAGGCGGAGGACAGAGAGAGCGGTAGCGGGCGGGGTGGTGGTTGGGAAGGGGGGAGACAGAGGAAAAGGCAGCCGTGGCAGCAGACATGTGGACGTGGGCCGTGGGTGGCGGGGCCCTAATAACGGCGGCAGTAGCACCCTTACAGACTGCAGTGCTAACTCTTACCTGCGTGTCCGTACACGCTGCTGCTGCTGCTGCTTCCCCCTGCTGCTCCTCCGGAAGCTTCTGGAACACTGCCACATGGGGGGAGCCGTCCGCGGCCTCGCCCACCTGGACTCCCAGTTGGGCAGCAGAGGCAAGCGCCGAGGCGGCGGCGGCGGCGGCGGCGGCTGTGGTGGTGGTGGAACCCCCTGTGGCGGCGCCGCTGCACAGTCCGCAGCTGCGGCGGCAAACTACTGCCACCCACCACCAGGTCTGTAGGTCCTCCACGGCCCTCTGACAGACCCGTGGGTCGTTGCGGGCCCACCAGGCGCACATGTCTGCGGCGTCGAAGCAGCCGCCGCCTCCGCTGCCTTGGCTGGCGGTGATTGAGGTGCCGCTGCCGCCGCCTACCGCGGACTCGGGTGTTGTTGTTGTTGCTGCTGCTGCTGCTGCTGCTGCTGATGATGATGATGATGATGATGGTGCTATGGGTGTTCCCGCGCCGCTATCGGGAACTGCCTCCGGCCACAAGCAGGCGCCGCAGGTCGCCTGGCAACCAGGAGCGGGACAGCGGAGGGAGGGGAGATGAGGTTCTGGCGAGGCGGGAAGATGTTGTGGTTATTGTGGTTGCTGTGGTTGTTGCGGTTGTTGTGGTGGTTGCGGTTGCTTTGCGCATTGTTTTACTTAGGGAGATAAGGTGCGCCTAGCCGCATTGCTGGACGTGGGGGAGGAGTGACAGGGGGAAGAGTAGCAGAGGAGGAGAGCGGCCCCGCCACATTGGGGGACCTCCGCTAGAGGCCTCAATCACTCACTCGCTCGCTCGCTCACTCACCTTGCACACGCCGACCAGCTGCATTGGCCCCGACGCGCACTCTGCCGCCGCCGCAGCCGCCGCCGCCGCTGCTCCAGCTGCTGCTGGTCCTCCTCCGGATTTGCCCCCTGCTTCCGCCTCCCCCTCCGTGATCGCCGTCTCTGCCAGCTGATCGCACCAGCTCGCCTCATCCGCACACCGTGGCGGGCCTGCCTGCCGTACAACCACCAACTGCCGTACCGTCAGGTTCATGGACTTGCGCAGCGCCAGCTCCAGGGCGGGACAGACACCGCAGGATGACTGCGCGGGGGGTGCACGGGGTGAGACCAAACGGTTTCATCCATGCAAGGAAACCCATAAAAAGGGGTGGACGGACCCGTGGGTCATAATGGATAAGGAGTTCGGTTTGCGGCAGGGGAGTAGGACCCTTCCTTTGGCCTTCTGCAGCGCACGCAAGAAGAGGACTCGCGTCGCCGTGTGGTGCTGGCAACGCGGAAGCAACGCGGTCGTCGTTCCGCGGGAGTCAGTCGCCATTAGTTCCCTAGGGCCGCTAGGTCCACTAGGGCCGCTAGCCTGTAGGCGATCACAGAAGCACCTCTTTCCCCATTCTGCAACCCATTCTGCAACCCAAGATACATCGAGGTGGTGCCACGACATCGACATAGTGCTAGCGGTGATCCAAATGATGGATGTGGGTAAGAGGATGGGCGTTGCGGGGGAGGTCGGTAGAAGGGTACGGCGAACCACTGGCGAATGAAGCAAGGGAAGGAGGGGAAGGAGGAGGGGTGAAAAGGGGTGAAGGGTTCCCGGGGTTGGGGATCGAACATGTGGTGTCCCCAACGCACCAGGCATGTGTGGAAACCATCTAGAAGATGAGTGCTGCAGCGGCCATTGCGACGCCTGTAGGGCAGAGAGGTGCAGGGGAAACGGACGGGTTGGATGTATCCAAGCAGATCCTTGTAGTTGCATTGTGCTGGTGGTTATGGTTGTGGGTGGCTTTTTGTGAGAAAGGGTGTAGGGGCCAAGGGTTACATCCGGTACAGGACGGATGCCAACTTACAGCTGCTCACAGTCAGCAATCTGATCCGCGCAGTGGAGGCGAACAAAGGGGGATGGCAGACCGTCACTTAGAGCAGTTTTAAGTTCTGCTAGCTCTTTGCGCGCGTGCAGCCGTATGTGCGGAACGAGGCTGGATGTTGCAGTCCTGGCGGGAGAGGACCCGAGCTTAACAGGCCAAATGTAAAATAAGTTGACAACTGCTATTAGAGTCATAGCGACAATTATCCACGTTCTCACAAGGCGCCGTCCAGCAGTGACAGGCCGGTGATGAAGCGGCCTGTCACGGCGCATTCTTTCCCAAAATGGCGAAAGATATGCCCCACACAGCCTCAGACCATTCGCATAACCGCTCTGTAACTTCCGTTGGCGGTCAGCGCGCCCCTGCCTAGCCGTGTCGTAACCTGCTCTAACCGTCTCTACTTCGGATTCGCCAGTAATACGGTAGCCCAGCTATGTTATAGCTTGGGGCACACAAATAACCTGAATAAGTTAAATAGAAATTAGAAACTATAAGGCTGTAGAATTGGAACACGCCAAGGTTGAAAATATGAAAATGGGCCCGCGAGTCTACCCGTAGTCCCGCCATGACGGAACCCTTTCCGCTTGCTTACAACGACGACGATGATGCATTAAAAAGGTCAGATGAGAATTCTCGGGAGCTTCGAGTTGGCGCTGCACATGAAGCTGAATTACATCCGCGGGGCCCAGCTATGCGGATTAAGAACCTTGACACAGGGGAGGAGTTTGACCTCGAGGAATATGACAATCGGGAACCATCCGTTAGCGGGCATCACAATAACTATGGCGAAGCGGACCATATGGGAGCCTTGGACGATGACGACGTGCCGGTACGTATGTGAGCCGCGGGCACGCTCGAGCGGCACCGTTTCGACAACGTTGTGTGCAACAATTCAAGTGCATTGGTCTTGCACACACTGCCGCTATGGAACGGGCGTCACCCCTTGTCCTATTCGCCATTAAGGTGCAACCCAGCTAGGCAGCCCTCTGGTGATAGTCCCCCTGTTCCATGCGCAGGGACAGCTCGTGCGGGGAATCGGGGCCAAGAAGAAAGCATGGCTGAAGAGCACAAAAAAACTCAAAACCTGGTACGTAAAGGGTGCACCGGGGTTTGCGCTGGATACCGACAAGTGGGGGCGGCCTCTCCCATGCACACGGCACAACGGAGAGCGTGTGACCGGCAACACGCCGCGCCCCCTGCAAGGAAACGCATTTGGTAGCTGCCACCTCCTGCACTGCTGTCAAAGTCCCTAGGAACCCATTGTGAAACCAGTTTGCCACGCGCACATGGGTCCTACTAGTCCGAAGTTATGACCTGGGGGATTCCGCTCTACGCTGCTGGGCGCTAGGCCCCTCAATCTTTTTTTCCCTCCGGCCTCCTGCGGACATTCCTTTTACATCCCAGCCCACCCATGTCGACTGCACGCGTCCTTAGGGCTAAGACTACGCTGACAAACGTCAAAGAAAAGATTGAGGAGCGCATTGAAAGGCAGCAGCTACAGCGGCAGATACAGCAACAGCAGCTACAGCAGCGACAGCAACAGCAGCTACCGCAGCATGGATTGCGCCAGGACGGCAGTTTTGGGTCCTGGGGACGCGAGGACGAGCCCCTTGAAGATGCGGGGCCTCTGGAGCACGGAGTCCAGGAGGTACGACCCCTCTTTCGGCCCCCCCTTCCCCTTCCCCTCCGACACACAACCCCTCCGCCGGGTTTGCCTCTGCAACGCCGACTCTAGGCGTGACGCGCCGGCATTACTGGTGTTGATGATCTGCGTCACAGAAGGAGATAGGGCAGCCAGGCTCCTGTGCCATTCTGGCCCCAATTCAGTCGACCCAGATCGGGTCGAGCCACGTTTGGTTGTTAATTCATCAACCAACCAGTGTGGCGGGGAAAAACAGTGCGAAACTGAATTCGTGTGGCCCAAATCTTACAACCCAGATTGGGTCAAAACTGCCGAAGCCGTGACTGCGATACAACTCGACAGCTCCTGGCGCGGTGGGCAGTGTTGTAAGGATTGACGCGAGGCTTGGCAAGGCAAGGGTTTGGTTAAGCATGCTGGAGGCCTCTTTGGGTTGTGGCTGTGGCTGTGGTTGACCGTCATGGCTATGAAGGCGCTATGGAGTGGCGCCAGGCCGGGGTGTGAAGCTGCAGACAGCTGCATGTGTCTGTCGTCTGCGCTTGTTCCCGTCTCTCCTCTCGAGTAGCGGCGTGAGAGACGTGGACAGGGTGCAGCTGTGTACGCAGCGGAGCACGTGCAAGTTGGTTGAATCAGTTACGGTTGGTGCTGGTTGGTGTGGCTGCGGTGTGGCCGCCTCCACGTGCGTCCTGCAGGGCTCCGCGCTGGCCGGCGGCTTGGAGGGCGTCGTAGGTGACGATGACGCGCTGTACGGCGGCCGCCGCCGCAGCTCTGACGACGGCAGCGTGGCGTCCACCTCCGCCAGCTCACCCATCCACGGCGTGCAGAAGAAGCGCTCTCCTGGTGAAGCACTGGACATGTCAGCACCCGGCAGCAACGGCGGCGGTGACGGAAAGGTCGGCCCAAAGGTCGGCGGCGGTGGGGGCGCAGCCGCCACGACCACGGCCTTTGACACGCTCTCACTGCCCAGAGATCCAAGCTGTAGTGCATCGTCGTCCAGGGGGGACGCCGCGAGCCGTCCTTCGTCAACGACGGCAGTGGATGCGAACCGTAAGTCAGCGGCGCCACGAGGGGCCGCCGACGGCATCGCCGCTGCTGCTGCCTCCAAGCCCCATGTCCCACCGCTGCCATCTCTCCGTGGCCTCGTTTCCCAGCCTTTGCCATCAACAGCCGCCGCCGCGGCGGCCGCTGCGCCCCTGGTTACATCGGTTACGGCTCTGTCAACCATTGCCTTGGCTGAGGGCGGTGGTCAGCACCAGCGCTCAGAGGACATGCGGATACCCCTGCTGGAGGAGGACCAGGCTGGGCCGTCCAGCAGAGCGGTGCCGGTGAGCTCATCAGATGGCGTTCATGTAGATGGGAATCCGCGCGTCGCCTGATGGCCATCAGGCTATCGTCAGCAGCGGCAAGTGTGCAGCATCCCACGCGTGCGTTCGTGCGTGCGTGCGCCACGTCATCCGCCCCAACCTGATCCACTCTCCCGCCGCTTTTTAACCTTTGTCCCCTTCTCTCCCGCGACCCCGCCTCAGACAGCCAAGTCCTGGCTCAACCAGCCCGCGCGGGTGGCTGGTGGCAGGCGCTCCGCGGGGCGGCAGCTGCAGCAGGTGCGCGGGGTTGGAGGTGGGCCGGGGGTGCAGCTGGCTTAGCCTGGGTTGCCTGGGGAACTGGAAGAGTTTCGGGTCTGCGGAGGAGGAGGAGGAGGATATGAGCTCCTCGCAGCTCACAAGTGGTAGCCAACGGCTCCGCTGAGACACTTAAGTCTCGGCACACATGGCCCTAGTCTTGCCTGCATCTAAGGCCTCCGTTTATCCTTTCCTCCCACACCCGCACCCACACACACGTATGATACATGCGTGCCCTTGTCGCCCTTGTCGCCGTGTGATGTCGCAGGTCCGCATGATTCAGGAGCTCCTGGGCCATGATGGCCCGGTGTGGGCGGTCAAGTTCAGCGCGGACGCGCGGCTGCTGGCCACTGCGGGGCGCGACGGGGTGCTGCGGGTGTGGAGTGTGTATTGGTACTCGCCCGGAAGGTGAGGGGGGCCACTGCCCCATCCATTCAAGGGGGCACCTGTATGTACTTCTGTACATCGGGGGTGCGTACATCGCCGGCGGTAGGCTAGGGGAGGGGAGTGCGCCGCTGGCCCCGTGGTTCTCCTTTGTCCACCTTTTGGCAAGAGGCGGGAGCCGCCGGGGTGGGGTGGGGTGGGGTGGCATATAGTTGGGTATGGTTGGGAAACGCACGGATGCATGAAAAGCTCACAGCGTTACTTAGCTGGATGGATGCAGACAGAGGGTCTGCTGGGGGCAAAGTCTTCCCAGCTGAGAGATGTGGGGTGTCATGGCTATGCGGTGGACCTGTGCCGGGACCCGTGCTGGGCGCTCATGCCGGTCGCGTCACGCCGTTTCCCTCTCTCTCCGGCCGCTAACCCACGTCCTTGCACGGCGCCAATTGCGTTCCCTTCCACACACACCCGCCCTCCTGCCCTCACCCTCCTGACCTTCCTCCCAACCGCCGACTGATCAGATCTGCTTTCTTTACATCCGCCCCAGCAGTCTTTCCTTGGCAGCAGCTTCACTCGCTCGTGGTTCGTTTTTTCCCTCCCTTCTCCCTCGCTAACAGCCGACGCGCAATGATTCCTACGTCTTTCCTCCACTTGCCCCCACCATCACCAACACCCGTATACATAAGTATCACCATTACCGCCAACACTGCCACCGTCACGGTGGCCCCCAACAGGTCCAAGTTGATATCGCCAGCTCGCGAAGACCCCGTCCCGACATCATTTCCATGCCCCACCGCACCACCGTCTACTGCCACCACCACCACCACTGCCGCAGCCACAGCCGCCGCGGCTGCGAGCAGCACCGCAGGGGGTGGTGGTGGTCCCGGGACTGCCTCTGCCGCCGCCGCCGCCGCAGCAGCAGCCACTGGAGCCACTGCGTCCCGGCCGCCGCTGCTGTCTGAAAGCCCGCTGTTGAGCCTCCCTGGCCATCGGAGCGACGTCCTCGACCTGTCCTGGTCCCAATGTCGTCTGCTGCTGACCGCATCCGCTGACCAGACCGCAAGGCTGTGGTGTATCGATGTGCCCATGGGGGGCGGAACCCGAGGCGCTGCGGGCGGCGGCGGCGGCGGCGGCATCAGCAGGACAAGCGGTAGCGGCAGCGGCGCGGATGGCGAGGGTGGTGGTGGTGGTGGTGGTGGTGGTGGTGGAGGAGGTGCAGGCAGGCCGTGTCCGTCTGGCGAGTGCCTGCGGTCCTTCGTGCACCCCGACTTTGTGACGAGCTGTTGCTTCCACCCGTCGGATCCGCGGTGCATCGTCACGGGCTGTGCAGATGGGAAGGTGGGAAGGTGGAGTGGACCATTCATTGTGGAGTGTTATGTTATTAATGACAGGGCTGGGGCGGCGTTCTGGCCTTGCCCCGCCGGTCAACCCTCTGTATAGCTTTCCTGATTCCTGCTGCCGCGGCGCGAGTGTGAAGAAGTTGTAAACGTGGAACTGCTTAAAACCGTGCAACTAGGCAACACTAAGTGCTTTTAGCCCCTGCTCGTACAGGACTCCTACAGCATGCGGCCGTTTCTTTGCTCCCCCCGCCCTCCTCACTGCCCCATTCCATCCCATTCCTCCTCCCCTCTCACCCCCTCGTCCCTCTCCCTTGTTCCCGTGTAGTACTTCTCCCCAGCCCGCCCCCCCTTAACCCCTGCCCGCCCGTGCTTCCACACCCCTCCCTCCCTCTGCTATCTTTACATCAGCCGCAGCTCAGTCTTTCCCTCCTTGGCAGCAGCTTCACTCGCTCGTGGTTCGTCTTTTCCCTCCCCTTCCGCCCTCCACGCCGCAGATCCGTGTATGGAGCGTTCCCGACGCGGCTGTGGTGGCGTACGCCACTGTGCCCCAGGACCTCATCACGCGGGTGGTCTTCTCTGCGGACGGCAGCCGAGTGGTGGCGGGCACACTGCGCGGCAAGGCACGTCACTACGAGTTCAGCAGTGGCGGCCTGGACTACCTGACGCAGCTGGATGTGAAGAACCCGCATGGCTCCGGGCGCAAGGTCACAGGGCTGGTGCAGGTACCGTACACGTACGGCAATGACCAGTTGTACGTCATCACGAGCGCGGACAGCCGGATACGGCTTTACGTGGGTTACACGCAGGTGCGTGTATCTACCTCCGTGTCTTGTCTATGCGGCCGTGGGTGTGGGCATTTGAGGAAGAAAGTATGTATGTATGTTGTTACAGGGTGGTTAACTTCGCCAGCGGCCCCCTTTCCGGGGCAGTCCTTGCTCTCCCCTGCTAGAGGGGCACCCTAATCCGTCACCCCATCCGACTTCAGAATATATTCGCTGGGTTCGGCAACTCACCACCAGCATCCAACCAAATCTAGCGGATCAACGGCGCATCAACTTGGTTCCTGGTTGGCTCGTATGTTGATATTATTACGTCCTACATCCTCCATGTGATGGGGGGCCACCTCCCATTTCAACACTCCTCAAACACCCGAGGAGCCGGCAGGCGGATTTGAACCCGGGTCGGCCAGGAGCAGAAGTCAGGCCTTAACCTCTGCCAGCCGCCTGCCTAGTGTGTATGTATGTATGTGTTTTTATGATCTGAGACGCGATGAGGGGAAATGTATGTATGTATGTATGTATGTATGTATGTGTGCGTGTGTTGTTTGCGTATATGTGTTGTGCGTGTTGTGTGTTGCATCTGACGATGCGTTCTTTTCATGTGTCTGTAGGTGAAGGTATGGGCACCTTACCTTATCCTATAGGTTAAGGATAAGGTAAGGTGGGGGCCAGTCCCTGCACCGCCTAAACTCTTGGCTCCACTAATTAAATGAGCAATGCTCTGTTCAGGGCCCAGGGCCCGAATCCAATTGTCCACTAGTTTGCTCCACTGCCGCGACGAGTTATACTTCTCAGTGTAATTCAATCTCATTCCGTTCCATATCCATGCAACCCCGCCCATGCACCTCACACCCGTGCCCACCGCACGGACTCGCAGGAACGCAAGTTCAAGGGCCACCGCCACTCGAACACGCAGGTAGGCCAGGGAATAACAAAATAGGTCACCAAAAAGCAAGGTAGGTGCTATGGAAAAGCTTTCGCGACGACTGGGAGAGATGCGTGGGGGCTGCGGCAATGGGCTGCTGCTGTGAGGTCCTCCTGACCCATGGGTCAATTGCAGCGTTACGTACAGATACAGACATTGGTAAGGAAGAATTTGCGGCAGGCAAGGAGCAGCACCTTGGGCCAGGAGGTGACCAGTTGTTGCCTGCTTTCCTAACACCCGGCGCCCAGCCCCCTCTGATACCCCCCGCCGCCCAGTTGATGTTGTTTGCTTTGTTTCCACACGATCCCACCTCTTCTGCCACCACCACCGCCACCGCCATTACAACAACAACAACAACGATAACAACAACGATAACAACAACGATAACAACAACGATAACAACAACCTGGCCGGTCGTGTCATTGCCCGTTCAGATCGCCGCATCGCTGTCCCCCAGCTGTCAGCACCTCATCTGCGGTTCAGACGACGGCTGGGTGTACGTCTGGGAGACAGGGCTGCCACCACCACCGCCACCGCTGCCGGGACCGACCATGGTGGGCGCCCTCAGCGGGCCCACTGCGACAGCTACGGGCGGTACGGCGACCGGTGCCACCACAAGCTTGGGCTCAGCCGGGCTTGTTGCTGGCCGCGGCCGAGCTGGGTTCGGAGCTGGGCCAGGGCCCGGCGGCAAGGATGTTGCAGCCGCAGTGCGAGGAGCTGGCAAGGTCAAGGAGGGCGTCTATGAGGCCTTCCAGACGCCGGAGCAGACCACGACGGTGGCTCTCTTGGCACCCAACGTGTGCAGGTAGGCGCGGGGTTAGGTGGGGGGCCACCCAGGGCGGAAGTTGTGAGGAGGGAGGGATGGACGGTGGAGGTCTTGGATGCAGGTGGGGTTCTTCCGCGGCTGGGCAGTGGGGTTGGGCTTCCTGGTCGAGGAGGGGTGCAGTGAGTAGAAAGAGAAACCTTCGTGGGGCTTAAGGTCAGGTTTTTAGGTCTTGCGGCAGGAGCAAGTCCCGCTTCATATATACATATATATAGGCCATTAACACACACATACATATATATATATGTGTGTGTATTTTCTTGCATGTGTGTGTGCTCGTCCGCTTGTGTGTTAATGGCCTTCGGGGCCGCGATGAGGGAACTGCCGATGGTGGTACACGAGGTGAACTTGATACCGGCGCGAGCCCCGTGTGTATGTATGTGCACGACGGAGTGCTTCAGGGCCCCTCCCGGCTCCTCCATTGCAGGCTCGGTCGAGGGCTTGAACGACTTGGGCGGGGGCCGGCAGCGGCAACAGGCGGCGGGCCGGCATCACTGTTGAACAGCTCTGTGGCGCAGCTGCCGCTGCTCGGCGCGTTGTTTGTAGTTGTTGGCTTTAGTGGCAAAATTTACGTGTATGAGAATCTGCCAATGCAAGGGATGATGTAGGGCGAAGGGTTGCTCTTGGGACCCCGTACACTCGTCACCTACTGGACGAGTGGGGAACGGCCACCAGCGGTAAGAAGGGTGATTGATGCAGCTGTGTTACCTGACGTGGCTGTGTGCGTTTGGGTGTGTTTTCCGATGCGATCTGATGGGATGGAGGGCTGCCTGGAGCGTGATGGAGCGAGCATTGAAGTCCTGTCATCATTACGGAGGATTTTTCTTTCCATGAAGTGGAGGTGTTGAAAAAACACCGAGTCTGGGAAAAAAAAGTCCAACACATGGCGAGGCTTGGCAAACAATCAATCGATCCCCTTATATCGCCAGTAATGGCAAGATGAGATCATACATAACCTATGAACTGCCCGTGTCCTCAACCGCCGCCGCCCGGCGTCGAGCTAGAAGCAGCCCTTTTTAAGCATCTTCAGCTCAGTAGTATGCTAATGAGAATATTAAATTGTCAAATCTTTCTTTAAGAAGAACGTTTTGAAGATACGAGTGATTTACATGCACGTGATGCATATGCTGTGCCATGCCAATTGAGAGCCTCCGACTGCACCTACTGTACTAGACGCGTAGGGCTAATATAGGAAAAATAGTAGATTTTCATTCAATGCGTCTAGGATTGTAGCTCTCGCGCACCCGTTCGTCAATTGCGTGGCATTAATGACGGGCGTTGCTGGGCCCGCACAGCACGATGTACAAGACTACGTTAATATTGCTAAAACTGTTAATATTGCTGAGAATAATTTTACAGATCACCTGCAAGGTGTACTCCTTAGGGTTAAGCTAGCGGGCAAGAAATGGACAGTTTTGGCGGATGGCAAGTTTTGCACGACGGAGCCACTTCACTTACGCAGCTCAGCATTTTAGTGTTTCTTTGTGACGAAGGTAGCCAACGTGCTCCTTTCTAAAATGTGCGGAAGCTTCAAAGCAATTAACAAGACGGCCTGGGCAAAGGAAAGGGAAATACAAATGGAATTACCAAACGCTCCAAGCAGAAGATTGCCATACTGATTTCATATTCAGCTTGCAAAGTCCATCCTTGCGCTGTAACTTACGACTCCTTGCTTTCAACATCCGGCCAAGGATATCATAAGACCCAGACGAGCCAGGAAGCTCTAAAGCGCGAGGCCTAACGTAGTCAAGCATTCTATAAAAGCCAAACTCTATATTTCTAGTTACTTTTCCCAGGATGCGAATTTCCGTGCTTCTCTAGCGTGTTTTCCGTATACAGCAAGTTGCAACCATATAACTGTATAGTTCATCAAATGTTATGATAGCTTTTGTTAAGGTGTCTCTATATTGTTTATGTGGACTATATTATAGTCTACCTCTGGGACGAGTCGCGTATGATTGACTAAGGTAGGGATGCTCGCCTAAAATTGTTTGTGCTCTGTGGAACTGGTCCAGGTTTTGATATGCACCTCTGTACACCGCATAAAAAATCAAATCTAAAGACGGTCAGTCTTGTTTCATTGCTGGTGAGAAGCAAGGATATGATGATCTCCATGATGGGAGTACGTGCCCTGGGTGGGTTGGTTTTTGTCAACCCTTAGCATGTACGGCTAGTGACGTGGGTTGGTTCCCTGTTCCCCTTGTAATAATTGATTCTAACATCGCTGTGTCTTACGGTTCTGTTCCTTACGGTTCATAGCTGTAATTCTCCAGAGGCCGCGCGTTGCTGCTGTCCACGGGCCTTCATAGGCGCGTTGCTGCTGTCATAAGTCTGGCCAGAAAAATTAACATATGGCCACACGATTTCCTTTGCCTATTTGGAAGTGGCAATCTTGGACAGGGGGCTAGGCTGAACAAAGAAATGAACCTACTTTAGCACGCGCCGTGTGTTACCTATTCCTTGCTCAAGATGTGCGCCCGCCGGCTGCACACATCCGCCCCATACACTGTTGCATTGGGTGAGGGCCGCACCAAACACGGCACGCAACTTTCCGCGAGTGGACCTTGCCGTTGCCCTGCGCAGGTCTGTTCCTTGGGCGCACCTTCAACGCGTCCACTTACAGCGCAAGCTCATTCTCCGATGACGATGTTCCTTGACCAGCCAAACACGACAGCTGCAAGACGATGGCGCAGCTACATGGCTGTGATCAACCGAACGAGCAGTTCGAAGTCTTGCCAGCAAGACTTATAGCCGAAAGCCAAGCAAGCGGCTACTGAAGCTTTGTCAAGTGTGGACCGCTGGCTGATCAGAAAGCGGGAGGCGCTTGCTGGTGGTGGCTTCAGGAAGTTGAAGAAGTTGCACAGCCTTGCAAACCGAGCACACATACCGTACGGTCATCCGCTGCAATAATACACAGCACAGCCCTTCTTACAACCGTAATCCGTAACCGAGTTCAATGCAGCAGGTCTAAACCAAGCCGTATGTATACATTGCATTTACGCTCCAGGAGCATCATCTCCTGCTGCAGCAATAGCAACCCTGCAGACTGCTGATCATCCCACATTCAAAAGCACAGGATGCCGATATCCTCAACGCCCACTGTCTGCAAGGCTGCAGCACCATACCGGTCTGTTAACTTTCCAACACACGCCGCCCACTCCTGAGCGCCCCAGTACTGCTGGTTCTCAGCAACCGTGCACGATCCGAAGGAAGACAACCAAGCATCTGTCATGCTCAAGAGGCTGCAGGAGGTGAGCCCCCACTACCGAGAAGGGGGATTCAGATAGACTGCGGTAAATACAAGGTTGCCATTGCAGCACCGCGCTGATACCGGTCTCAAATATCGACGCTGGGACAACTGCAGGTCGACCCGGAATTCCGAACAGGGCGAGCCAAGAAACTTCAAGAGGCAAGCAGTCCCGGGCAGCGTACTCTGCGTTCTGCGTGTACTCAACACGAGCCAAGCTGCGCGCGTAAAGCCATCTCGCTGCATAAATCCTCACTTCAGTGATGACATGGACGTCGAAACCCCCATGCGCCAGCGTCCAACGCTGGAGCAGCGTTCCCAAGCCTTTACAACAGTTGTGCTAGACCCTCTCCGTGGAAACTGACTTGGCGGATTAGTCCGATGCGGAAAGCGCCATTCCACGTGTCCGTTTGCACCGCGCCGGGACATACAGCAGGGCGCTGCCGTGATGTCCTCCGCCACCCACTCCAGGCTCATCCACTTATGCCATCGGCGTTAAGCACTTGCCTTCTCATTACACTCCGAAAAGCGCCTCCCCAAAGTTCCGGAACGCAAAAATAGCTCCGAAAAAGACAGCCAAACCACGAGCAACGCGGATATTCGCGGCAAACTTCGCCTCATTTTTCCACTCTTCCTTAAGCCATTTCTGCCAGGCGTTGGAACCCTTGGGCTTGGAAGTTGGTGCTGCGAGCATGGTCACTAGCCGCCGATCAACCTAAAGACAAGTTATGCCAAAGGGCAGTGAGCGCCTAGGTTAGCTGCTACTAAGTACCCTATCTTTTACCTTAAATTGATTATTTTACTGGCTCTTAGGGCTCCCTAAGCAAATAGTTGTCGTACGGAAGAAAGTGTTTCTTTCGAAATGTTTTGCAGATGGTCGATTTGCATAGACTGTCTGCACAGGCTCTAAGTTTTGCGTGCAGGTTTGCAAATGGAATCTTATAATAAATGTTTTTGTCCGTTTCTCAACCTGTTGCCTCTTGAACCAGGTCGTGTTTTCCATATTATGTACTCTTGTGCATGTTTACTAACACTAGGTGGGAAAACCTAAGGCTAGATACGTAGCTTCGACGGCCAAATGTCATCCAGCGCGTTGCCACCCCTTACGGGTGTGGGTTCAAGGGAGGATCGCGAGGAGCAACGAACACAAAAAGTGAAGCCTTTACCCTTGATGCTTTCCTCACGAGCACCGCTTGTGCAGGCAGCTGGTAGGTCACATGTGCATGAAGTTGACATTCATAGCCTCCGATGTTGGCCCCTTGTGAGCCTTTAGACTTAATGAGCATTGCCATGCTGTGGGTCTTATCATCTTGCCGTCCATGGTGGACTGCGCGCTGTGTATATCCTAGCAGTCCGTACGATACCCGCGCGTCAGCACTACCCCGAACAAGAAAGCCATGCGCCGAACCTTCTCACCCGCGCCTAGCTTTTCCAAATTTCAAATGTTACACCGCGCACAGACATGGTCCACCTGACCCACCGCGCGCCTCTCCCCCCACTTCAGCAGGGTCTTCCCCGGGCCAGGGTGCCACCCGCGGCCGGCCGCCCGCCGGCCAGCCTCCTCAGCCGCAGCAGCTCCAGCCGCCCCATCACCTCTACCCGGCAGGGAACGATGCGCCGCCTTCACCCGGCAGCCCCACCGCGCAGCAAACCCCCCTCCGCAGCAAGTTCACCCGCATCCGGGGCTTCCAGGGAGCGCCGCCACTGGGGCTGGAGGGGAGCGGGCTGCTGCTACCCCAGCCAGGGGTGCCGCCCCCGGGCTCGGGCGGGCGGCCCGGATCGCAGGTGACTGGGGGCCTTCGTGCAGCTGGGCTGTTGGAGCCCGTTGCTGGGGGACAAGTGGCAAGCAGCAAAACACCTCCCGGACGACGGTGAAGGGGGGGAGATATCGGATATGTGTGTTTCTCCTATACCCGTGCCACGGGTCCCGTGGCCGTGTTGGTTGTAACGCAAACCCTAAAAAACTCCCCCCCTCAAGTTAAAAGGCCCTCGGTATGTTGTTTCCCCTGGGGCCAGGGACCCCCTGGTGGCTCTCCGGAGGGTGGCGGTGGTGGCGGTCAGACGCATCACAGCAGCTGGGACGGCGGGCCGGGGTCGCCGGGGCTGGTGACATCGCCACAGAGGCTGGGCTCGGGAGGCCGCCCGCTAGGGGGAGGTGGTGGCGGTGGCGTTCACGGCAGCAACGTTGGGGTTGTGGCTCCGGGCGCATCCATGTCCCTTCCAGAGGGCACCTGGCAGCAAGTGGGTATCTCCCGGGGGGTGGGGGCGGGGACAAGGGAGGGAGAGGGTGAGAGGGGGCCCTGGGGAGTAGGAGGAAGAGAGGGGGGAAAACATGGGATGCCGCGGCAAGAGCAGCAGCGG